ATTAAAACCTTGGTTCGAAAAAAATGAAGAACTAAACCAACAGATGTTGTTGTTTAGCGCTGTCAAATTGGTTCTGACTCATAGCAACACTGTACTGGGTTTTTAAGAAGCAGCTGGTGAGTTTGAACTGCCGACCTTGTGCTTCAAACTAACCTGGCTGTTCAGTGCTTTATTCTACAGTGCCACACCAGGACTCCGTAGAAATATAGTTACAATAAATATGAACAGAATCTTACAGTAAATCAAGTCACCAAATGTTAATCACTGGATATCAACTATCTACATATAATTCAGCTTTTCATTGAAATCTTGTTTTCTGATTTTATAAAGGTCACATATATTCATTCTTAAAATGCAATCATGATACAAATGGCATCAAGCAGAAAGTGAGCAGTTTTTGCATTTCACCCTACAGTAAGCAAGCTCCTTCCAGAATGTTTTCTCTGGGTGCAGTGTTTGCATCTGTGTTTTAGGCAGCCAATCACAGCCCACGCTCAGCACTCTTTTCCCCTCATGGCACCATCTCGTGTGGACATCCTACTCCCTCCGTCAACACACAGATCTCTGGAGGTGGACAGCAGGCCACCGGAGCACAGAACCAGGTGACATGGAGTTCTAAGGACTCTACCTGCAGTATTTTCTGGCATGTTCTCCACAGCCCTGGGTGTCTGGAAGGACGGTTCTGACTGTGTGGATGATGCCCAGGCTGCATCACCTACCTGAAGCAAAGACAGAGAAAGAGAGCAATCGTTAGCAGCAAATTACACAAGCCTAGTCTTAAATCTCTGCATCAATGCGCAAATGTCTTCTTTTTGCCTCTTTTCTTGACAACATTTTTCTTGTGGAGTCATTTTAGATGTACAGAAGTTCAAAAGGTCACCCAGGGCGCTGCTGGCCATCCTCCCTCAGCCAGCTTCCCTAGCACACTGGTCAACGCGTACTGACTCAACTCCAGACTGCATGCCCACTCCCCGGCCTCCATCCATGACCTTTCTCTGGGCTGATGCTGAGGCAGGATGCCTGCTCGCCCAGGCCCTTGATAGCCACACAAGTGAGCAGTCATCAGGGCCTCAGGGCTTCAATGGAGAGAGGCAGGCCAAGTAGGGAGAGCAGTGGGCTCCAATGGCTTGAGGCTGGTGTTAAGTGCCATGGAGTTGGTTCCAACCCATAGCAACACTGTAGAGGGTTTCCAGGAAACAACTGGTGAGCTTGAATCGCCAACCTTGCAGTTCAAACCGACTTTGCAGTCCAGTGCATTAATCCACAGCACCACACCAGCAAGTTGAGGCATGTTTAAAGTTGAGATTGTTGGTGAGTGCTGTAAAGTCGGTTCCGACCCACAGCAACCCTGTAGAGGGTTTTCACTGAACTCATTCATGGAATATGATTTAAGTTGTTTAAAATGATAACAAAGAAAATTCTAAACGTTCTCTTTTATCAAGAGTTCTTGTGGGATTTGATTTGTACTGAGTTTGTTGTTTTCTTAGAATAAATAAATCAGCAAAACTGAAATACTTGAGTGTTAATCCCAGTGGAGCAAATGGTGAACACTGTCGGCTGCTAATCCAAAGTTTGGTGGTCCATGTCCACCCAGAGCTTCCTTCGTAGAAAGACCTGGTGATCAACTTCTGAAAAACCAGCCACTGAGAACCCTACGGAGCCCTGTTCTACCACACATAGGGCAACATATAGGACCACCATGAGTAAGAATCAACACATCAGCGACTGGCTCACCTTCCTCATGACTCTAGTGTCCTCTGTGAACGGGAAGGGTGGGGACTGGAGCCTGCTCAGTGCCCCGCAATCTGGTAACAGTTAATACAACCCAGGGAGCAGTTTGACTGTCACGTGACCTAGAGATGAGTCGGAGGCAACTCACTGACCCCCAACACCACCAAGTTTCTTCTAGGAAGACCAGGTATGTTGGTGGCAACATTCATGTTCAGCCTTTACAATATTGGTGGCATAAATTAGCATTTTTTTAATGTGTCTCATACTTTTTAAATTTTTCTGCTCCTTTCCTTTTGGGTAACTACTTCTGGTATAGGTTGCTACACTAATGATAACATGTACATGCAAATTATCATAGCAAAAATAAAAAAGGTTTAGCAGTTTATATAAATTTCAACTTGAAAACTGTTCAAAGAATAGTCTGAGCAGTAGTTAAGCAAACAAAGGGCCCGGGAGGCGGAGCTGGGAGGAGCCTGGCAGCCAATAGAACAGCTGAGGCTTTAGGGGTAGGCAATAAATATTTTAGGCTTTGTAAACCTTGTATTCTGTCTCAGGGACTCAACTCTGCCAGTATAATGCAAAATCAGCTACGACAATATGAAAATAAATGTGTGGCTGTGTTCTAATCCAACATTTACATAAACAGGTGGCAGTCAGACTGTGGAGCTACGTGGGCATGGCGCTTGGTCAGCATTTCCTCACTCACAAAGACCTTAGAAGTGGTGCGTCCATTCCCGGTCTAAGTAACATGAGCCAAACCCACGGAGAGACTGCAGATTGTAGTCAGTGCTGACATCAGCTCATGAGGGTAAAGCTATTGCTACCAGCAGCCCAGCTAACACTGTGTTGGACTCCCTGGGTGCTAACCACAGGAAGGAGCCTAGAGTCCACCCAGAGACACTTTGGAAGGAAGGCCTAACTAACGCTTAACTCCCCAAAAACCAGCCACTGAAAGCCCTGCGGAGGAGCACAGTTCTTCTCTGACATACGTGAGGTGGTGTGCTAGACAATACACACATCTACCTTTAAGTCTCACAATTGCCTTGAGATATGGCCCGTGTACACGGCTACGTGGGGCACTGAAATTCACACCCTATGAAAATCCGGATTTAAAAACACTCTGTTTGCTTTGCTCAGTGCCACATCCCTGAGCTGAACTGTGTGTGGCAGACTGCTATAAATCACTGAGATGGGCTCGTGGCTTCCAGATAAAGACTCCATTTCCCAGTGTTCCTTAGTCATACGACTAAAATCTGGCCAGCAGGACACCAACAGCAGTGTGTAATTGCTAGAGATGGGAATTCACGTCCTTGAATGTTTACCCTCTTCCCATTCGCTGGGGAAGGCGACCAACAGGAGCAGCCCCCTGGGCTGGAAGATGGAAGCCCAGTGTGAACAACAGGAAACTCCCTCAGCTGGCCTACCACAGCCGCTGATGAGACATGAATTTCCATCTTGTTCAAGTAGCTTTGTTTGGGGGTGGTTTGTTACTGTAGCTTAACCTGTATTCTGGCTGATCCATTTCAGACACATCCCCTCCTTAAGTGTCAAAGTGCCCTTTACGATGACGTCAAGTACAATACATACCTCAGCAGGTACATGAGAGGCAAAAAAATCTTCCTCTTTTGGTGGAGGGGACAAGGATGGGACCACACAGCTATCAAGCCACAGCTAGAACAAAACAGGACCAAGGCTTAGCATGACATTTGGCTACCAAGGGCTTTCCCTCATGCCCCTCACTGTCCTGCTGGGGACCTGTCTACTAAGAACTGGCATTTCCCAGTATTCTAGAATCAGGAACATGCCTGCAGAGGGCCTCTAAGCACACTTAATTCATGTATCCACCCAGTAAACTCGTGCCTCCAGCCTTGAAGTCCAGTTTCCCAGATTCACAAACTGTTTCTGAAAAGGAAAGGCCAAGGGCTTCCTGTCTCAGCTGAGGTTCCTAACTAAAGGACTTGGGATAAAAACTACCATGTCTACTGAAATGAATCAACATGCAGTCTAAATGAGACCATCCAACGGGCCTGGGACTCACATCGGTGCCGTGGTTCCGAGTAGCTTGGGAGGCAAGGGATTTGATTTTCTCCCGGTACAGCTGGGCGGTGCGGCTGTTGTACTTGGCGTTGGAGTCATTGGTGGTGCACCCGTGTTGGTGGAAAAAGGAAGACTGCAGAAGGACAGCACACCCATTAACAGAAATCGCCCCTTCAATCTGAGACGGTGACAGAACACGTTACATCATGTCTACAGGGATATTTGTAAATGCTAGTGAAACCCAAATCATTGAAACACCATAAAAAGCAGTGAGATCAATGTCTCCCTGTAGAAAGGCAATTCTCTGCAAAATTCTCTGAGACCTGCACTGTAAAATCAAACAACTGGTCCTTTGTCTCCCCACAAACCCTCCTCTGTCATTCTGGAAGTTATTTGGAGACAGACCATCTACTTAGGACTACTTGGAATTCATGAGAACTCAGTTTCCATTTGGATTCCACGAAATCAGAATTCTAGACAAACTGGTTAGGAACCACCCTAACATTTTCCTTGTTCCTCTTTAACAGAGAGGAGCCCTGGTGGCACAGTGGGTAGAGTGCTGGTCTGCTAACCACACAGTGGGCAGTTCAAACCCACCAGCTGTTCCATGGGAGAAAGAAGAGGCTGGCTACAGACCACCACGGAGGGACGATAATACAAAAAGCGTTTGAAACACTGAGCAGAATGGCCTTCCAGCAGCTCATCGGGAGCCAAGTACAGACACAGATTTCAGAATTCACAGCTTACCCAGAGCAGATCATCGGCAAACCCAGCCAGGCAAGTGATGCTAAGTGGACTGGCTCAGGTGGTGTGTTCAAGGGTCCCATCTCATTAAGCCCTCACTGTGATGTCCTCAGTCACTGTGACTGTCTCCACATTGCAGATGGGAACACAGAAACACAGGCAGGTTCAACAACCTGCCCCAGGTCACAGCACTAGGTAGGGGCAGAGCTGGGATTCACAGGCAGGCAGTGGCTCCAAGCCGTGGGAGCTGGTGGCCACTGCTCTGCCCATGCCTGCTCTCGGGAGCTGGGTGGGGTCTGCAAGTCTGGGAGGACTAGTGGCAAGGACAGAGTTTAGGAACATGTCTGTCCCCATGATAGTGATGATGAGACAAAGTCCCTAACAAGATGCCTGAACCATCTAAGACATGTTTTAACGGAGGTGAATATGGTTTCTTAGGAGGAAAAAAATCTTAGATATTAAAATGGTCTGTGGCCTTCTGGAACAAAACCTTATTCCTTGGAATTTAACTTCTCTTCTGGTGAGGGAGGAACTTGCATTAAATGTAAAAGAATTTAATTGATTCATTTTAATTTACTTTTGTTTCCTGTCTGGGGACAAAAATGAAAAAGGGTTGAGAAACAGTGATCTAAGGGAATATGGTGTTTTAGAAACTAGACTAAAACACTGGACCACAAGGTCGGTTTGAATCTCAAGGTTGGCGGTTCAAACTCCCCAGCTGCTCCTCGGAAACCCTGTTCAGGGTGGTTATGAATTGGAACGGACTCCACGGCACTTCACAACAACACATACCATTTTACCTGAGACGTTTGAGAGATGCTAGCCTGGTGATTTTTATGTGAAATGTAGACAAAGTTGACTTCTTACTCTTTGACTATTCAATGACATGTTTCAGGGGCCCATTAGTTACTCGGCACACCCTTCTAACAACACAGGTGTGAGTTCTTTGGGAGGTTCTGCTGGCCAGATTGGTAAGACTTGGTTTTTGAAGGGCTTCAAAGAATCATCTGTATTTAATTTCTACACGGAACTTAAAATGGTTGAAGAGTCTTCATTAGGTTTGTAACTGGGGCTAAGTGAATCTGGGCCCTTAAAGTTATAAATTAGCAAACATTTAAAAACTTAATTTTAATGCAGAAATGACTACATTTTTACAAATTACAAGATTTGTATATATTATTTGAAGCAGTTTTTTTTTTTTTTCATTTGCAGATTTAATCAATTAAAAATCTGTTCAAACAGAAGCAGCTATAAGCATTCTCTCCTAAGTATAAAATTCACCCACCAGCATTAACCAAGTTCGAAGTCCTGGTGTGGCGCTGTGGGTTAATGCGCTGGACTGCAAGGTTGGCGGTTCAAGCTCCCCAGCTGCTCCTTGGAAACCCTCTACAGGGTCTCTATGGGTCAGAACCAACTCGATGGTACTTAACAACAACAACAACATTGCCCTGGTGGTGCTGTAGAATAAGCACTGGACTGCTAACTACAAGGTCAGCAGTTCAAATCCATCAGTGACTCCAAAGGAGAAAGATGAGGCTTTCTGAGTCCTGGTGTGGCACTAAAGGATAAGCACTGGACTGCTACACCTTCAAGCCCACCAATCACCCCTTGGCCACAGAGCCGCTCTGATTGGAATCAACTCGATGGTACTTAACTACAACAGAAGATCTATAGCCTCGGTCCCTCTGCAGGGTTGCTGTCAATCAACAGTGGGGGTTTGAAAAGGCATTGTTTTCATTCCTGCTCCCTCTGTATCATCACAGCCTGGTTTAGGTCCTTCCTGACCTGCTCTGCCTGACAGAGTCCTGTGAGACTTGTATGTCACTGTACCCCACTGACTCCTGTTTACTGAGTGTGGAGCAAGCAGTAGAGTAAACCCATTGAGCTCTTCCAGTTAGACCGTCTTATACCCTCGGGGGCCCATGCCGATAGGACGCCTGGACTTGAAATTGCTGACATTTATAAACCAACCTGCTATGTGCAAACAATGAGCCTCTTGACCATGCACATTTAAAGACAGGGAGGAAATCACCAGGTCTGAGAGGGACTTACCGCGGTAGCATTGCCTCCAACCTGCATGCATCGCAGCTGAAACCAAGACCAGTTCGAATCCAGCTCTGTCGATCTAAATGGAAACCATTTTAAAAAAAATGTTTAATGTTTTCCTTCTCCAGCATCAAACCTCGGAACTTTTGAGAACTTTTGATCTTCAGGACCCTAGAGAGTTTGAAGTTTGTGTTACTAGGAGAGACGCTTCCAGAATGCTGACTCCATCTGGTGGAAGTAGTTCCTGGCTCCCCCTCTTCCCTAGACCTCACACCTCAAGGACCGGACCTAATCTCCCTGCCTGATTACAGGCAGGCCAGGCCAGCCCACACCAGGCTAAGGCAGCCACGCCGGGCTTGGCCATTAGTACTCCTGCTGGTCCAACTCCAGTTAGCCATCTTCCAAGGTACGAGGTCATGACCCATAGCCTGGTGGGAATATGGGAAAGGCTTTGCCCCTGGTAACATGTCTCCCCTCAAGATAGATGTCCCCTTAGGAGTTTTTCCGGTCAACTAGCCTGGAAGACGCCCATACTCTTATCAGTAGTTGGGTGGGCCCTACCCCAACATCATCCTCCACAAGGAGGAGAGAAACTCAAGACTTTATGTTCCCAAAGTGCCAGCTGTAGCTGCTGCCTGCCCTGTCACACCTTCTGTCCTCCTAAGATCAAACCAGAGGAGGTAAAGGGGATACGTGTAGATCCAACAGTAACAATGTACCACGTGATCACTGAAATGATGCAAGATGTGACCAGGAGCCATTGATAGAAGTCTTTACACTGAGAGCCCATGAACATGAACAAATGCAAGGCTGACCTGCTACTCAACACAGATCGTCTCAGACTCAGGGATAAGAAAATACGCATTTAAAATGGGTCTTTCCTGATGCGCAGGGTAGAAAGAAAGGGACCAAGGCGTCCAGTCCACTCAGACTCCCTTGACACTGCCCACACACTTATAAGCGCCTATGACTGCTGGCATTGCTCAGCCTTTAGGGGATAGCTTTGACCACTTAACTCCTCTCTCTAGTCCCTCCTCTCCCCAATATCTTCATCTCATGGTTGGTAAAATCCATGCATACAAAGGGCCAAGTGCAGTAACACTAATATAGAATGACAAACCCATTTCATAGGGACAAATAAAACTTTTTTAAAAAACACTATTTTTACTTTTTACATATGCAAAACCTCCTTTAGAACTAAAAATTTCTGACTACTGTGCAAAATGATGAAACTACCCTTCATCAACAAATATTCCAGTTCTCTGAATCGTTTTTTCTGAAAGATCTTGAACAGGTCCAACTTTCCATGAACCCGCAGGCTGAGTTTGTGTCCGCTCCCACTGCCTCTGTAATGGGGTAGAGGTTACCACCAGCCTAGGGAGAGAGACTTGAGAGAGTGCAAATCTCAACTCTGCCACTTATTGCTGTGTGACCTTGGGGAGGTTACGTAACCTCTCTGTGCCTTACTCTCCTCATCTGCAAATTAGGGGTAACAACAGTATAAGTGATTTTGTTTCTTGCAGATATTAATTAAGCTAATATCTGAAAGCATTTAGAACAGCCTCGGGCTCGTGCTGAGCTACAAACTGTCATCAGCATGCATCACCATGGCAACATAGTAATTACTCACCTCCCCCGTAACCACCACTAAGTGGTAAGGCTGGAAGGCAAAGGATGTCTGGCATATGACAGGGACTCAAATACAAGTTGAATTCAAGTATGTTCTAGAATTGGGGCCATATGTGTTCAGAGTTGCCAATCTTCCTTAAGGAGCCCCTTTGATGCATGGCTACATGCGAGGCTGCTAACCGAAAGGTTAGTCTGCTCTGGAAAAGATGTATGAATAGCCTGGGAACCCTGTGGACAACCCTACTCTCCCTCTAGGGTCACTCTGACTTGGATTTGACTCAGCAGCAATGGATCATTGTTTTTTGAATCTGCCTCATAACTTTTGGTCCTAAACTATCTTTAAAAAATAACTCAGTAAAGGCAAACATTTCTCTCTATTTCTTAGAAGTGAACGCAAACTAAAAGTGCATGCTCTTGAGTTGGCCTGAGGGGGCTGCTGAGTGAGTGTCTGCACAAAAGTGTGATGTGCACACACTTGGAAGGTGACTGCCTCGTATGCGACGCAGCCCACCTGACAGGAACCCGATGGCTCGGCAGCCGTGCATAGAGACGAGGTGACCCGAGCAGGTAACGTCTCCTCTCCCTTGAGACTGTATTGAATTTTCCAGCCAGGAGATGATGAAAGAGCCCCATTTCTGTATAGCACCGTATCCAATCCTTCCTGAGCCCACCCATTCCCCTTTACGAAGCTCATGAAACACTACCAAGTGACCCTGAGAAGCAGCAGAGCAAGAAGAGGAAATCCCTGAGAAACAGGTACCACAGAGACTCCGGTGAGGAGCTCCCAGTGCTGGAGGTACCCACACCGAGGTCCACGCGGCAGGTGGCTCCCGAGCACGTGGTCACTTCCGGAGACGCCCAAGCCATCTTGCTCTTTTGGCAACACCAAAGGTGACGTTTTTTCCTTTGGAAATTCATCTATTTGAGACTCCACTTAAATAGCCAAGATCCGCGCTTCACTGAAATACGCATATCTTTCTTGCCAAAATATCTACAGTGTTAGTCCAAGGAAATAGTGTGTGCATAGACATGGGCATGGGCATGGGTGCAGGCGTGCGTGCGCAAGGGAAACAGGAGAGTCAACAAGGGTTCTATAGGACAGACTTTCACTTTCTATATTAGGTACTCTGGGACACCTTAGACTTTTCCCAATGAGCCGGAGTTTGTAATTTTTTAAAATCAACAAAATTGTTTAAAGAGCAGCCCCCACCCCAACAAAACACACAATCACACACCCCAAAAAACGCAACCTTTACTGGCACCCTTCTTATCCTTGACGGTCTCTTTGTCCAAATGCTAGACAGTTTCCTCGTGGTTGTGGTTGTGGTTGTGCAGTGATTTTAACTCCATTGTTGCAGGATCGTTCATGTGCACTGTGCTTCCTACTTGTCTACGGAGCCAGCTTTCAAATGGCCTGTGATTCAATGTGTGCCGGCACCAAGCGCACCTGACGTCCAGCCTCCTCAGGCTCTCGGCCATCCCTTCCCTCAGCTGGGAGACACGTCAGAAACCCAGGCCACCTCCTGCCATGGCTTAAAGGGGCAGTGTACCTTAGAGGTGAGGAGGAGAGGGCCCAGTTCATAATGGGAGGGGCTGGGCAGACAGGAAAAGGGACAGGACACCACGAGACACAGGAAGGGAACCTCGCCATGTACTGCCTCTCGAGTCCAACTTTCATCGGCTCTGGGCAGAGCAGGTTACTGTGTATTAACCTGTGTATTAGGTCTGGAATTTTGCTAAAAGTTTGTTTAGAATAAACTTGCCATGGCAACAAAATCCCTCAAGGTTAAGAAGGTGACAAGGGCAGGGCAGGATAGTGCAGAAAAAATATTCGGGGACCAGAGCCTAAGAAAGAAGGAAAGAAAAGATGAAAAGAAAGATGTATAGTCCGAAAGCAGGAAGAACACACAAAATTACTCCCTTTTCTAAATAACTATCCGTGGTGTTATTGGACGATAAATACTTAGCAGGCCATGATTTAACAAACTGATTGCTGAAAAAAGGAGAGTTCTAGGCCTCAGAAGCATTCTTTTTAGTAAAGTCAATATACATTTTTTAAGTATGGTGCTATTAAATCATTATGCAGTTCTTGTGCTTTCATACAAAACACTATATTATGGACTGGGGTCCGAAAAGCTGGTGAGTGGCCATCGAAGGTGCAACTCCTGCTCTCCCCTTGTCCAGAGTAGAGAAGAGTGAAGACTCGTGGAAACAGTTAGTCCAGTGGACGACTGGGCCACATGAACATCAGTCTCCACGATCCTGAGACTGGATGAACTAGATGGTGCCCAGCTCCACTACCGACTGCTCTGAAAGGGATCACGTTAGGAGGTTCTGGCTAGAGTGGGAGAAAATGGGGGAACACAACTCAAAATCATCAAAAAAGACCAGGCTTACTGGTCAGAGAGAGACTGGAGGAACCCTCACACTATGGGCCTTAGCCACCCTTGAGGTCTGCAAACAAACTCATCCTGGCTCAATTTTCAGCCAAATAATAGGCCCATAAGGGGACCCACCCGACTCGACGGCACTTAACAACAACAACAAAAGGGGACCCACAAGTCCTGGTGTGGTGCTGTAGCGCAACCATAAGGTCAGTGGTTTAAAACCCACCAGCTACTCCTCAGAACCCCCATATGGGGTCTCTATGAGTCAGAACTGACTCAACGGCACTTAACAACAATCACACTGCGGAGATATGTACACCTTAGCTCCATAGCCCATTTAAGATTAAAAGAGCAATGTTTACCCAAGGACAACGTTTAGAAACCACCGGAAGGGAGTGGGAGGAGCAGGTTACACTGTGAGGACCACAATCAATGACACGAAACAGAATGGGTCTGAACTGCTGGAGGGAAAACTCATCTCACCCAACTCACAACATAAAGGTTGGGTTTTTTAAAAGACCGCATTACAAATATAATAGATTATGTCCTATGGAAGCAAATGTTTTCTTACAGTCATCGTGTCATACCAATACTCCTTACATCACACTAGAAAACAGAATTGTTCGTCACAATTCCTAGCTGGTCCCTGGAAAAAGACACGGGAGGGACACGGGTGAGCTGCTTGGAGGTGGCTGCAGGACAGGCTGGGAGCCACGGCTGTGCGGCTGGACTGGAAGCTGAAACCCAGGCAGCTTGCTCCGTGCTTCCAAACCCCGAGTCTGGCAGCAACTTCTGTGATACGTCTCCTATTATCTCCATTTCTTTGACTTCACACAGAGACACTGCTCACCTCCCACTGGCCTGTGGGGACCTTTCTCTGCTAACTGGAAAGCACACTACGGACCACAGCCCTGGTGGGTCAGAACACAGTTTATTCTCCCAAATCATTATACAAAAAGAGAAGAAAGACCCTCATGTTATAAACATTTGAAACGGCCACTAAAACTCATACAAAACTCATCTGTGAAGTATCATTGGAAGTGAGCTTCGTGAGCACCGTGTAACAAGAGCTTTCTGTCATTTACATCAACTCTCCGCCCCAATGAGGTGCCCTGTTGGCACAGTGGGCTGCTTTGAACTGAAAGGCCAGTGGTTCAGACTCAACAGCCACTCCCATGAGAATGATGAGGAGGTCTGCTTCCATTAGGGTACCCCAGGAGCTGTTCGACTCCATCCTATTGGGGCACTATGAGTTGGAATGGACTTGGAGGCAGTGGGCTTGGTTTGGGGTTTGGCTGCACCTCGATGGTACCTAGGGCACACCCACATGTGAGTTCTAGCAAGACTCCTTGGCTCTTCTAGATCATTAGACGACACCCAAAGGCAAGGGACTGTCTCAACATGCTCCATTCTAACTTCATGTAAGATTTCCAACATGGCTGCCTGGGTCCTGGGCACAGATCTAGGTAAAGGGAGCCTTCTTCCCAGCTTGACTTCACTATGTCGATTCAATCTCACTCTACTTGATGCCAGAGCAAATACACAGAGAAAACAGGTGGGCGGGGGGGAGCCCATACAAGCCCACACAATCACTCCCACCCCTGCAATGAGACCCACTGTACTTACCGAATAAAACTCAAGTGAACACCAAGGGACCGATGGGACCCTGAGCAGTCGATGCAAAGAAACACCCCATAGGTTATGCTTGCCCAGCTGGGATTTTTGGCCCCACAATCAAAACATATCTGAAAGAAGAAAACAATTTGGTTATGAATGACAAGACCTAAGTCATCCTCTCTCTCTCTCTCTCTCTCTCTCTCTCTCTCTCTCTCTTTTTTTTTTTTTAATGTTTTATTGTGAATTATGTGACAGTTGACATGGGAGAACATTAGCTTTACATTCATCCTATCGTATATCGTTTCATTGCCATTTACAATCCTCTCCATGCATCATCAACCAACCAAAGGGTATACACTACAAGCCTGTCCCCCGGTCATCAGCACACAGCCCCTCTCCCTTTCTGGGTCTAGAGTCCACAGCTGCTCCATCTCTCCACGTCATCGTCTCTGCCTCCATCTCTGGCGTCACTGCTTCTCTGGGTAGGGTCCCACTCTCTGCTCTTCTCTCTTGATGGTCCCAGGGACCTCCGCTCCTAGACTGCAACGTTAATCACTCCCCTCCTTGCTACAGAATGTCT